GTAAGCAAATCCTTTTATTGTTGTTTCTTTGTGTGTCTTGTATTCCTAAGTGTGTGGGTGACTAGACTACCCACCAAGCAGGTCAGCCCCTTTTCTCCTTTATTCCTTTTCAGTAATGAAAACCATATTTTTATAGCTTGATAACTTAAAATATTTGTGTTATTCACAAAATGCACTGGGACTAGAAACCATTAGATTTAGTGCTTGAGCCTTTTTTTTTTTTTTTTTAAGATTTATTTATTTGTGCATACAGAACTGGAGTACAAGCCAGAGGTGCAGGGGCGGTGAGAGGATTTACCAGAGACAAAATGGGGAGCAGAACAGACCAAGTGATGAAATACACTGCTGAAGGGAGCAGTGGACTGGTCAGGAGAGCTTTGCCATGCCATGTGTATCACTTCCAGGTCAGGCAGGGATTGAACTCATGCTGAAGTGGCTTTAGCTTTTTAGTGCTGTGCTTTAACCCATTGCACCACCAGGGAGGGCCCTGTTGTTTGTTCTAAAAACAATTTTATTCACTGTTTCATTGTATTGACAAGTGAAAGAAAATATTCATTTTCTATCAACCGTGAGTTATTCTAAATACTTCCAGGTTGTTCATTTTATAGACTAGTTTTATCAGAAAAAGAGGACTAGATACAAGTTTTAATTCCACAGACTATTTAGCCTCTAAGTTGCTAAGTCATTGGGAATGGAAAATAGAGCAATTTTTGTTCTTGCAGAAAGATTTTCTGTTGAATCTTATTTTGTAACTTTAAGATATGACAAAAATGGCCTAAAATGTCACTAACCAGGCAAAGTTGCATATACATACATCACTGTTTTCCTAATCTGTATCATATATAATATAAATTTAGTACAAGATAGACATTTCACTTTAATGCTAGTATATTTTTTGCTATTTCTGTTAGCAGATATTTTGTAATATGATTTTTAATGACTTCTAAACACATATATATACATACATATATATATATACACATACACCATGATTTAAGAAAATATTTCCTTTTTTTAATTATTTGAGTTGTTTCTAAATTTCCTTAATAATTGTTGAAGTATGTTACTTTGTAAAAGACATATTAAGCTTCTAATATGTATTTACAAAGACTTTTCTCAAAGAACTTGTCATAAATTTACATTATTACTCAAAGTACATGAGTTTTTATCATTATTTTCATGTATCTTCTTGACTTGCAAGACTGTTTATTAAATGCAATTTTATTATTTGAAATGTTTCATAATCAAATACAGTTTCTGAGAATAATTTAAAAGGTATACTTTGATTATAAAACTTATATCTATAGTAATTTTTATGTGTGGATAGTACATTTCCTTTAATTTTTTCTTTTGTAGTATACTCATTTTCATTGATTTATAAGAGTTCTTTGCATATTAAGCAAATAAAATTGTTTTTAGGTCCAAAAAGTTTGGATATACAGAAACTTCATTTAGTTCAACTGAAATTATATATTTATGTTGGTTGTCAGTGTTTTCCCAGTTTGTTTCTCTTTTGTTCTTTTTATTGTATTTTTAAAGTATATAACAAATTAAAATTATTTGAAGTTTAATTTAGAAGTTTTTCCTTTGTAGTTTATTGCTTTTTTTTTTTTCCAGCAAAAGTTCTTTCTTCCTAAGGGCAGATAAATATTTTTGTGGTTTCATATTTTAAGCTTAACATTAAAAATCCATCTGGAATTTTGTTTTACTGTATTATTAAGACAGGAATCTGTTTACTGAGTGATAAAACAATTACTTTCAGGTTCCTGAGAAACTCCAACATTTAACTTCAAACCCTCTTTCTAAAATCACAAGATTACTATGAGTCTGAGCAATATAACATCTTTGATTTTGCTTCTTCATAGAATAAATTATTCTGTTGCCTGTGTTAGCAGATATTCTTCAAGGATCAGTAGTATTCTGGTGATATTATTTTGGCAATTTTAACTATAATTTAAAGATGTAGGTGATAGGGGATAGAAAACTTGTTATACTTAATGCTTTCTCCCAGTATCAAGTTGTATCATTAATAGAACTATACAGATGAGCTCACATTGATAATATATGGAAAAAGATGTCCTTTGAGTAGAAAAATTAAAAAAAAATGCTGATTAATTGCATCTTTCTTTTTCTCTTTATATTTAAATTGGACTTAACTTTAAGAATGATGAACATATATAAATATTTTTCCTTTGGATTAACATACCAAGTGATGATGTTTTTTGTTCTGTGGTGCTGTAGACCTGCATCAAAGTGCCTATCCCATAGTAGACATATTAGATGAAAATTCCACTAAGCTGCCCTAGAGTTTTTAGAACTTGTCTTAATATTTTGATGGAAAAAAACATTAAGTGAATTTATTTACAGTTTAAATTGTTGTTATTTGATCTAAATTATATGTAATGGCTCCCATGCCATTGAAAAGTAAAATATTCAAATTTTGTAATCTACTCTCAGTATATTTTGGTCCTACTTGGAAAATTCTTTCACTCAGGGAAGGCCCGAACTTCTCCTTTTTTCTATTTGGGCACTTCAAGCACTAGCAAGAGTTTTTATTTTTTTTGAGAGTTTGAAGGAATACATGTCTCTACTGTTAAATAAAACTACTGCCCAAACTCTTTCTGTTTGAAATAAGAAGCTTAGTTGGTTCATTTAAATTTTTAGATAAATTCCTTGTGTCTAAATGGTTGCTATTTGCTACCTAAAACCATGGAGTGAAACGGATTTATCAATAAGCTGTCCAACTCAAAGATCATATAAATTTGGATAATGAAGGATACTTGTGTTGGTTCTTGCTCCTTTCCTACATTACAGACCCCTCAAAGAGGGAAGATGAAATGGAATTACTCTGGTTTTAAAGAACTAATGAGCCTCACATTCTCTGAGAAGCTGGCGAAAGGTCTGCTCTAGCCAAAGGCCCTAGAGTTTCTGGAGGACTCATTAGGTTCCCAACCTTTGGTGGGACCGAATAGCATGGAGATCTGACTCCAGTCACTTCTAAAAGGCAGCAAAGGTTTGCCCTCTTGAAGTGGAAGTTAGGACTGGACGTCAGGGTTTCCTTGGCTTCTCAGTGGCTTCAGCTGCCTGCAGAGAAAGGGTCAGCCCAGAGGTAAGATGGGTCCACATTCACACTTCATTTTGGGAAAGTAATTTCATTTTGGGGTATTTATTTTCTGAGCTTAATTGACCAGACCAGTACATAAAACTTAAATCTTTTTGCGGATCTTCTAACCTCATCTTATTTTAGAGATAAAATTTAGGAAGACTCTGGTATGTTGCCTCAGCTTTATAGGGCTAATGTCAGAATTAGAATTTGACTCCTTGGCCCTAGTTTATCTATTTCTTTAGCTGTTGATCAGTAATGTCAATGTAATTTTTGAGGCATAGAGAAGTTGTATATAGGGATGTTGAGAAGCTGTAGAGAAGCTGTATATAGGAATGTTGTCTTGGAGACAGGCAGCAAATTGGATGCCGGGAAGGATTGAGCAGGGTCTAGTCTCATCCAAGCTGAACTTTTAGATTTATGAAGTGACCACTTGCCAGGACCCAAAATTGGGGAGTTATAAAAACTATTATTCATTCTGAATAAAGCCTAGTCTTATATTCTTTATCTTCTTTTGTTCAGATGAATAAAAACACTTTTTCCAAGTTATTTTCTCTTGCAGGTTTTCTATTGTTTTAAATTAATATTGCACCTGTACAACAGGGTCAGAGATCAATTTTTTTTTTAAAATCTAGGCCACTAGATAACATTAAAAAAATCAATCAAACAAACAAATTTATTATGCATAAGCTTAAAATGACTATGATACCGTTGACTTTATTTTGCCTTTGGGCAAGCCGAGGAGGAGGCAAACACAATGTTCAGCTCAACTACTTTTTACATCATTTTCAGGAAAACTTAACAATTTTTATTTAATAAATGATATGCTTGAGCCCTCTCTGGTGGTGCAGTGGGTTAAAGCACAGCACTAAGAAGCTAAAGCCACTTCCTCATGAGCTCAATCCCTGCCTGCCCCAGAGGTGACCCACATGGCGCGGCAGACCTCTCCTGACCCGCCCACTGCTCCCCTCAGCAGTGTATTTCATCAGTCAGCCTGTTCTGCTCCCCACTCTGTCTCTGGTGAATCCTTTCACTGTCCCTGCACCTCTGGCCTGTCCCCCAGTTCTGTATGCATCAATAAATAAATATTTAAAAAAAATGACATGCTCAAATTATGTATAATTTTTATATTATGACTAGAGTAAAGCAGAGGTAAGGGAGCCTAAGAAAGAAGGAAGAGTGAATGGACAGAGGCAAAGAGTGCTGGAGAAAGAGCTACTAAGAGAAAATGGGATGCTGTTATCTAAGAGTGAGACGATAGAGCAAATAGGTCAGGGACCACTTGAGTAGTAGGGTGTATAAAGGAAATGAAAGGGAGTACCTTTGGGTTTAAAGGGTACATGTGAATTCCAACCTTAGAGAAGATGCAAAGAAAAAGAGCAGGGAAGCACATTTTTCCTCAAGGTCTCCCAAGTCTACTCCATTACCCTTCTCTGCTGTTCTGTTGGATTGTCCTGTCGTCACCCCTGTGCTTCAGTCCTGGTCTCCAGCCAGCCAGAAGCCTGCTCTCGAGCCATTGTAGCTCCACAAGTGCTGTTCACATGCTGATTATGGATCTGCCAAGTGGTAGCTGGAGTGAGGATTAAATGATACAGCTATGAAAAGCTCTTAGAACAAAATTCACCCTGTAGTTAGCTTCCAAAATATGGCAGTTATTATAATAATTGTGAAGGCTTTTTTTCCCTCCTGTAATGAATTGTAGCATTGGAAATAGTTGTATAACTATAAATCATGTTTGAAACCTTTGAATTGAGTCTTTGAAGTAAAATTTTAGAAACAGATATTTCATATAGCCATTTTCTTAATGGTATGTTGACACTGAACTGAATAAAAATGTAGTCGGTCAAATCTAAATCCACATAAATTTTTAATTATATCTCATTTTCTCTTATTTTAGTAATTTAAAGGGAGTGATAGTCACTCTGAGTGATGATGGTCACTTGCAGTGTTCATACCTGGGGACAGACCCTTCTTTGTTCCAAGCTCCAAAAGTTGAAGCTCGAGAAATAAACTACAGCGAACTTGATAAAGAATTGAAAGAACTTCAAAAAATCATCAAAGATGTTAACAAATCACAAGGTATCTCATTGGCAGCTTTTTCTTATTTGCTTTTAGTGTAAAAATTCATATGATTTTGTATATGGGTAGTGTTTTGTTTGTATGAGGTAGTTTTCTTCACTGAATTAAAGTCATATTTGTAAAAACAAGGTGACTCTTTAGCACATGGGTCTGTGTACTTTGTTTTTATGGTATCTGTAAAATATATCCATTTTAACAATGTTTTTCTTCATGTGTTTCAGGGATGGTGCTATCTAGATTTTCTCTTTAAACCCAAAGAAAACACAAGTACTCTCAGGCCTTGAGAAAAGCTTTAAAGTTTAAAATGGTCATTTATTAACTTGCAATAGTTGTGACAACGATTTGGTTGCTCCTCTTAAAAGAACCAGAAGCAGAGCATGACTTACCACTTTGTTACTAAAAAAGCAGTCATTTGCTGCTTAGTGACATAATTTATGTTTGTAGTTAATTAGCCATCCAAATGAAGTGTAACCTATGGTATGCTGATTTCCAATGGCTCAGAGACTGATGAGATTTTCAGTTCCTGAGTTTTGGATAACTCAATATTATCTTACTTTCGGATTCACAAGGGTATAATTTTATTGTAAATTAAAAGGAGAAACAAAACACCAATCCTGCAGTTGGAGTTGGACATGTGAAAAGCATTACTTTAAGTTCTCTTCTCAGGGTCAGGTAAAAGTATTTTTGTAGTGAGAAAAAATATGGATGATTTTCACATAAAAGAAATGTTAAAACAAGTAGGAATAATAAAAGAAGCAAAGCATCAGAAGCCAACCAAAACAGCGGTACCAGTCTTAATCTTGGTCTAATCACTTTCCTAAATTTATGTTTTTTGAGTCTGTATTACAAGATGGATTCAGGAAAATTGAGCTGATATATCTAAAAATATTAAATTAAGATAAAATCATTGTCTTTGCCTTCACACATTCTCTTAAGAAAATTTTGAAAGTAGGCTAGTAAAAATTAGGTCTTTTAATATCCCCAAGTATGTAAAAATCTATTTGTTGTCAACACTCTCCCAGACAGATATAATGTAATCTATACTTTTGATACTGTTGTTTTTAGTATTAATGGAATTATAAGTCTCATTTTGTCATTTAAAATTGTAACTGGGGAAGAGTGACATATATATGAAGCAAAGTTTCCAGAGTTCATTAAATACATTTAATGTAGCTTTTCACTCCAAGTTTTTCCTTATGAATATACAAACAACTGTTTTATGGCTTATAAAATATCCTACATTCTATATTCTGTACTATTCAGAGGGACATAACTTTATATTGTTTCTTCTATCCTTTTAATACTTTTATAAAGTTGCTAGAGACTGGTAAGAAAAAGATCCTAATAGCAATCACTTTTAAAAAATGTATAATTCTTTAATGAATGGCATTGTATTTCACTTGAAATTTTGAGTCTTGAGAGCTTTCCCTTTCATAATCAGTGTACTATTATAATTTGACTAGCACTTAATTGTGCAAAACATTTCTCAGAAAAATCCCTTACAGGGGAATTATTTTTTGGGTAGTTATAGGTGAGAAGGCTGGGCTATTTTCACCCTATGTGTATCTTACAACAACTATTAATGAACCCGGGGATGTACTCCTAGGCCTGGGTAGGATTTGTTAATATTAGTCAAATTTGTCAAATTTTAGTTAATATTGAAATTCTTTGCCCCTCTATACAACCATCATTTGGTTTTATTACTGAAAAATAAAATAGGGAAACAAAAAAATATCATTTATTTTATTTCTGACTTGTATGTGGAATATAGAGAAAGCAAACAAAGGGTTGGACAAAGGCAAACTTTACAGCCAACCCTCGAAAGCTCAACATAGAGCGTCAGGGAGAAGAGGAGAGGGAGGGACTGAGTGAGCGGGCAGGGAGAGAGCGGAGGGCAGTGGTGGAGGACTGTGGGTACTTCTGTGAGTGTGCCTATACTGTCAAAACAATTGCAGGGATGTAAAACAGTGGTACTTCAAGAAACAATTTCTTTTCAAAATATGTGAAAACAGTATTCTATACCTATGTAAGACTGGTGTATTTGTTTCTTCAAATATCTGCCATCCTATAAAATCATTTCAATATAGATCATGAGAAGTTAAAATCGAACTTTTTGATGACCTTATTATTCACTTAAATGCCACTTATTTCAGTACAGTGGGTTTTAGCTTGCAAAAAATATTTCACAGTCTAGTGGATTATGTTCAGTACTTAAAACATTTTTTTTTGTTTTCTTCAAAGCAAGAGTTGCAGCAAAATGTAGAGCTATTTTTAAGAGTACATTTTGTTGTACACATGGTGTATATTATCTTCTGTAATAAAAGTGTTTTTGAAGCTGATTTTATGTGTGTAAGTTCTATGAGGAATGTATGTTGTAAGCATGAAATTATACTAATAATTTCTGTATGGCTCATGGATTTGAAGTTTTTCATGCTCAGCTCATTAGTGTGAAACCTGCCTAGTATTCCTTTTTCCAGCAGTCAACAACATTTGTGAGTGGCACTTTCAAGGACAGATTTTCCTCATGATTTAGACAGTTGATCATGTTCTCTGCCTGGGTGGACATGAAGGAATGAGTATGATATTGAGAGAAACTTCCACCTAGTTGTATTGTCAGGAAAGGAGAGGGCTTGAAATTTCAGGCATATAAGAGAAAATCTGCATGTGAAGTATGTCTAAGTTGCCTTCACCGTTGAGTACTAGAAACATTTGTACCTGGTGACTTTGTTAGAAGCTGTTTACTTCAGGTGATGTATAGGTACATAGAACAGAATAAGGGTGACTTAAACAAGGCAGAGGTTTTTCCTTTCCTGTAGAAAAGGAACTCAGCAATGAGCCATTCCAAGGTTGGTTTTTTTAGTTCCACTGTCACCAGGGACTTTCATTCCTCCTCTCTGTTTCTTTCGTTTCTTTTCTTTTTCTTTCCTTTTCTTCCCTTCCTTCTTATTCTTTCCTCTCTCCCCCTCTCTCCCTTCTTCTCGCTCTGTCTCAGCAGCAGAAAACCTCCTTTGGCCTGTCTTATAAAATTGCTTTGGAGTAGAATTATTGTTTTACAGGATGTATATCTTTTAGATTTTGATAGTTATAGCCAACTAACTTTAAAAATGTTGACTAATTGTGCCAGTAGTTATGGAGAGGACATATCACTAATGTGTCAGTAGGTGACATCTTAGCTAGTATCATTGGAGAAAGAGACAATTTTTCTTTATAATATTAGAGAGGGGAAAAGTTAACATCAAATTTCTAATTCTGTAATGATTAGTTGTCTTCACTTGTAAGTATTTTTATGGGGTTGTTTTTTGATGTATGATATAGGTAAACCTTAATAAAAACTATATATGGCAGATTTAACTTGGTGATTAAATATCATTTTTTTCCCTTTTAAATTACAGGTGTTTGGCCCATGATCGAGAGGGAAGATGACTTGAAAGTTTCTGCCATGGTTTCTCCTAACTTTGATTCAGTTTCTGTAGGTCTATTTGCAGATTAAAAAAAAATATTAGTAATGGTTTTTAAAGATATTTAAACAAAATATTGTCAGTCATGATATATTTTTTTTAGATTTATTTATTTATGCATAATGAACTGGGGTACAGACCAGAGGTGCAGGGGTGGTGAAAGGATTCACCAGAGGCAGAGTGGGGAGCAGAAATGGCAGATTGAGGAAGTACACTGCGGAGGGGAGCAGCAGCGACACAGGGGTTTGTTCTACCATGTGGGTCAACTCCCTGGCCAGGGATCGAACTCATGCTGAAGTGCCTGTGGCTAGCTTCGTAGTGCTGCACCCATTGTGCCACCAGAGAACGCTCTATATGCAGATTTTTAAGAGTTTATGACAGTGATGGACTCTGATGTATTGGAATCAGAATTTATTGGTTTAACTTGCAGGCCTCCAAATAGAAACTTAGGGAGGATCAAATTTAGGAAGATCAAATTTTAGGGTTTGTGCCTTTCCAGAAACAATGTTTCTAGCCTTTTATGCAGATAGGATTTTCTTAGATACGGTTTCTATTTAAAAGAAAGGGTGGGGGTGGGGTAGCAAGGAGAGAGAATACTAGAAAGGTTTCTTGCTTTTATTCAGAGTCATTTTTTAAAAAACCTTATCAGTATCTGGTATTGAGATAATGATAAATCAGATATATAATACTGATTTTTGTTGAACATTTCATGAGATAATGAGGCTTCATAATTTACAATTTTGCTACAATAGGATAGTGATGGTAGAGTAACTTTGGAGTGTACACTTGGGCTGGGTATTATTTTTGCCCCATTTCTATCTATGTAACTTAGACAAAATACTTAATTTTCTTAACCTTTCTCACTTCTAAATGGGAATAATAAGAGACTCTATTACTTGTTGAATTTTTAATGATTAAATCACAGTTTAGTTCTTCCTCTATCATTATCATCATCATCATCATCATCATTATTTTATCCTCATCATCACTACCACCTGCATTCTCCTACTAGTTTACTGCCATAAGTTTAGTACCATTCATATCAAATGGGTACTCAGTTTACATTTGCTGTATGAATGAATGAGTAAAACCAAATCAAGAAGGATAAAAGAGGATCTGTCTTTATATTATCCAACCTCCTTGTTTAGTCTCCTGTAAGCACTTGTTAGATTATGATTATGTCTCTCTGCCTGCAGTTTAGACAAAATCAATTAAGTTTATCTATGTCTTTATCAAAAGTTGATCAGTTAGGGAAGTGATTGAATCCACTGCTTTACTGTATTTGGAGTTCATGTCATAAAATTTTGCCTGAGAAATGATGGTGCTATTTAAGTATCAAAACAAAATGCAGTTGTCATGAGTTTTCACAGATTAATCTTAGTTGAGGTACAACCAACCTAAGCTGAGATAAAAATCACATTAACATTGCCATCGTCCAGTAAGGTGCATATACATAAAAAAAAGAAATAGAACTACCTATGAAAGAAACATTCACCCAGCTGAGTCACATAGTAGAGGCACTGTTTTAAACATTGAGCATTTAGCACACACCATTTCTCACTCTACCTGAAGGGTGTAGTCTGAGTGGAACATTTCTGCTTAGTTAGCTGACAAATGTACACACATTTTTTGCCTTAAAAATGATTCTTTTTTTCCTTTGGGCAGCTTATATAATTTTTTCCTAACTTCTCTTAAACATAGGCTATTAGCATTGAGGAATTCTCTTTCTCTCCTTTAGCAGCTTTTGATCTTTGTAGGAAAAGGCCTTATGTAATAGCACTATATTGTAAAATATCTTTCCCTATTGGTAACCTGGAGTGCTGTTTTCTCTTAACAAGGTGTCTTTTTCCAACTTCATTTTCCCTGTCTTACTATATTTTCCTTCTTGAGAGTATCATATTCTTCCCATTGGAAAACATTATTCCAGTGATTTATATGACTGTGGTGCCATAGTATCTTTGTATAGCCATTTCTCTCTGGCAATAATTTTATGGTCCCAGAGCAGTGCTATCCTTGAAGTATCTAGATTGAGCAAAGTAGGGAACAGAAGATGTTAGTTTCTCTTCTAGATCTGCAGACAGCTAAATGTAAAAATTTTCTGGATTTTAGGTAATACTTGAGCAAAAAACCCAGCTTAATATTTTCTGTTGAATCATTATGAAAGCATACATCAAAATGTTATAATTTATATTAGTGTAGTAGTGTGGACCTTTTCAAAAAATAGAAGAGATATTCATTGCTATCCTATCTTCTTGACTGAGAAGTTGGATCAGAGTTCATATATATAGTTCATATATATACTTATATGGAATTATAAACAGACCATGAATCTTCTAACTCTTACTGATATGCATCACATCAGAGTAATGTGTATCAATATCCATTGCTTAGAAATGATTTAGTTTTTCTTAGTAAAATTTTTTTTTTCAAATGAGTTAACTTAAAGCACAGTGGGTCTATTCATTGGTTTGATAATAATTTATGATCTTAATTGTTCCCTGGGAATTGATAAGAGTTTGTTAGAAAATGTGTTATCCCTTACTCTAATTCTGCTTTAGAGAGAGCATGTTTTTCCTTTTAATTTACCATCACTTATAAAGAAATGTTCTCTTTTATATTTTATTTCGATTTCTTTAGGAGATAGGACCAAGTAAACCAGTCTGATGCTCAAAGAGTGAACTAGTTTATGATATGTGCTAGTAAAAATAATGTAGGCGGCCCTCCCTGGTGGCGCAGCGGGTTAAGCACTGCACTAAGAAGCTAAAGCCACTTCCGCATGAGTTTGATTCCCGCCTGCCCCAGAGGTGACCACATGGCGTGGCAGACCTCTCCTGACCTGCCCGCTGCTCCCCTCAGCAGTGTACTTCGTCGATCTGCCTGTTCTGCTCCCCGCTCTGTCTCTGGTGAATCCTCTCACCCTCCGCATCTCTGGCCTGTACCCCAGTTCTGTACGAATAAATAAATAAAATCTTAAAAAAAAATAATGTAGGCACTTATTTAAATTTAATTTATTTTTTTAAGTTGAGGTGATATTGCCTTACACTATGTTTATGTTTTAGTGGTACAAGTTTACACATCTTCAAATGAACATCCTATTATTTTCTAGGTATAAGGCTTCTCAATCTTTCTATCATAAAAGATTCATTACTAATATTAGAAAATACATTTTGCAAGATGAAAATACAGAGTTCTAAAGACTGGCAGAATGTTTATTGGGAAATATGGGGAGGCTTTCTATCTAATATAAAGGACAAGTTAATACAATTAGTTTCAACATTTAAGTAAATTGGGCAACAGAGTAGTTGATCACAAAATACATGACTTTCTTTCCTCTCTGATGGCAATGCTTTTTAATTATTACCACATGACTTTCTAGATGAGAGCATTCACATGGCTATATTGACATTGGTCTGTCACTTAAGTGACACATCCTTTCTAATGAGTTCCATCTTTTGGTGGTGGGAAGTATATATTGTACCCATATTGTTTGCTTGTGGATGAGTAATATTGAAATCATTCTTTCATTTCTTTCATTATAAATTCTGTTTTTACAGCAAGCTACTGATATTGAAGTGGGAACTGACCCTGTCCCTTCAGTCACAGTGAAGGTATTGTCCATGATTCTAGGCTGTAATGTGCAAGTAATGTTATGCATTTCATCACATCTCTCATTGTTGTCACCCTATCAGTGACTTGCGAAATGTAAAATAAACATCTGAAATTTGTGAATTTTCCTTAGCCTTGGAAAGGGAATATTAACCTTTATTGTTACCTACGTATGTAAAGTTTATAATTGCATTCTTAGCAATATGTATATAATATAAGCAATAGGTGACTTATTCCTACTATTATTTAAATGTGTGATAATATTCAGTCTTTTTTTCTAGAAACAAAAATAACCTTTTAACTAAAGTCAATGTGCTATCACCAGTCATAATAGATAAACCAGTTGAGTTCTACAACGTACATGATTTCAACATATGCACACACACACATCTACACACACACACAGAGGGGAGTCATATGAATGCTGATGAATTTTTTTATGTATGATTATGTCAGCGTGTATTTGAAAAAAATTCCCAGTCACCTGTCTACCATAACACTAACTTTGAATGGATTTATTTATAGCAAGAACATATTAAATGAAGAAGCCACAAAGTAGAGTAGTGACAAATTGATAGTACTAAATAAACAAAGTAAGAAGGATGTGGTTTTGGTTAAGATTTTTATCCTGTTATTGTAGACTTTTAGAGCTAGAACTCAAATGTAGAACCCTCTTAAGGCAGTTAGATTAAAGTGTGGTAATCAGTCAGCACGTTATTAGCTGAAAATATTTATCACTGCCCGGGCCTTGGAGCCAGGGAAAGTTGTGGATCTTGGCGATTCACTTAGTCAAAACTTGGACAAGGCTTTCTATTTTCTTAGATTATGTGTTGCTGTCCTTGGAGGGCCTTGACAGGGTACCAGGCTTTACCAATTGTGTTCACTTACATTGGCTCTAGCGGGTGGCCCAAGTGTGGGAATCTTTGGTAGAAGTTGAAGGGAGCCCAATCTTGTAACAGTTCCCTAAACTAATTTTTTTGGCTTCTTGCCAGTGGAAACAAGGGTGGTCTTTCTCCAGTCTCCTTTCCCCTACCCAATCAAAAGCTCTATCTCATTAATACTTTTGAGTCTGGAAAAGCATTAGTGGCAAGAAATCAAATGCTTAAGGAAAACACACACACACACACACACCAAAAAAAAAAAAACAACAACAAAAAACCCCTGCAGAGTTCCAAGAATGATCTATAGACTTTTGTGTAGTGAAATGTTTTTTATATCTATTTACTGCTATTGTTTAGACTCATACACATAATAATTCAGGGGCACACTATAAATTGCAAAAAGGAGTCTTGTACCTAAACCAGATAACATTGCTCATACTAATTCCTATCCCCCCAAACCCAACAATTAGTTATTGCTATAAGTAAATACACATTTCCCCCCAGGCAGCTTTTAGTTTTTCATGTCTACTAGTTACCATAAAATGATGGCATGACACTACTGGAAATTCACCTTCATTAGTGAAATTTACTATATATTAGAAGGACTAAGCCACAACTCTCTTCCTTATTGCCATTACAAGAGCTTGAAAAAGAATGCAACACAGAGGTTTGCACAAAATCAACTGGCCTCAGCCAGTAGACACAATGACTTCCTGATTATGTCTGACAGTTTCTATACACATTTCTGCTATAAATCTCTCCTTATAACCTTTTATAACAACAACCAAGATATATAACTATGCAGGTTTCCATCGTAATAAATCCAGTTAATTGAGAAAATTTTTCCATCTGTTCCAAGTGAATGAAGATGTGACTACCTTGAGTATGTGTGCATGATGCGTGACCCTCTGTTCCAGGCACCCAAAGCAGAGTGCTTGTTCATACCTGGCTTTGGGTTCATATTTATATATCCAGGATAAAAATTTGGTATTCTATTTCCTAAGGATCATATTTCATTTCATTAGAAGTAGAATATAGCATGGAAAATTCTCGTATTAACATTTTATATTTTCCCCTCAATATTCTATAATTATTTTTTTCTGAAACTATGAGGTTTATGATCTAGCCAAGTCTTTAACTCTTTTTTTGGCTCACACACAACTCTTCTTTGTTACTGCAGTTATTTTCATCACACATCTCCTTGATTTACATTTAAAAGTGCCTCTTCTATTGTTGGGGTTCAATAAATCTATGTCTGGCCTATCCCAATCATGCATCTAAACCAAATGCAAACACTTCTCATAACAGTGTAACATTGTGCAATCCTTGTCTAGATACCCATGGCTATCCCAGGCTGATTCAGAATGTCTGGTGTCTTAAAAAATGACTTTTTAAAGGACTTTTCATTTTCCCTTTCAAAAATGAACTCTCATGAAACATGTCTGCTCCTGATTTTTAATTCTTTTGGTTTCATGGTCATTTATTTAGCTCCTCTGAACCTCTGTTTTTAAGCTGTAAAATGGGAATACTTTTTAATTTGCAGTTATTTTGAGACTAGACCATAATTAAGAGCCTGACTTCTGGATTCTGGCAGACGGAAGTTAAAGTGGTGATTCTGGTGCTTATAATCAGAATCGCCTTGGGCAAATTATTTGTCTCTCTGAGCTACAATTTTCTCTTCTGTAATAAAAATAGTGATAGTTCCTGTTTAATAAAGCTGTGGGGATTAAATGAGATAGTGTGCATAATTTATTAGAATCTATTAAAAAGCTGCTCATGATTATTACTGATTTTTTAAAAAAATTTAAGACATGTTCAGACTAACATTATTAGTAGTAAAATATGTAATTGTGTCCTGTTTATTTTTAACTAGCCCTTTGAAAGAATGTTGTCTGTTGCACAAATCTAGTTTCTTCTTCCTATAATTACCACCACATGGTATTTACTTAAAAAGGTATTACATTGTTTATAATGGTCAGACATCATTAAGGAAGCTTTGTGACATGCCGAGTATTCTCAGGACTGACAAAGTAAGAGTCAAGGATACATTGTTCTTCATTTGTTGTCTTTATTATTTATTTGCATCAGTAATTGTCCTTTAAAAATTTTACATAGTCAAAGTTTTTATTTCTAATATATTTTCCAGTTGTACAGAATATTTACATCTTTTAAAATTAATATAAGCTATTTGTTAAATCTAATTATATATACATCTATCTATCTATCTCTATATACAAAGTGTGGCTCAGTTTCATATTCCTGTATATTCCTTCTCTCTCTATAACATGTATATGTATCTGTATGTTTATGCATACATATGTATATGTGTATATACTTTCACACATATGCATATATATACATATATAATTAAAAAGTAGATCATAGAGGTCTATTACTTAAGAGAATTTTCTTAAAAAGTAAGTATTCCCTTTTCTACTGAATAGACTGCACTGCTTCACATCAAAGATGACTCTCAACTCTCCCCACGAATCACTGGGGAGCTACTAGAAATATCAATACTCAAGTCTACCCCAGAGATTGTGACTCATTTGGTTTAGCACATGGGCGGGGAAGTTTGCTAAGTCTGCCTTACTACACCAGGATATGAATGAACACTTTCAAAGGTAGCTCTCCAAAAAGGCTGAGCCACTTTGGAGACAAAATCCAAACAATGTGCCCATTGGAAGTTGGATCTTTGAGCTTCTTTGATGACCTCTAGGTGATGCCATTTAGCACTGTGGCTCAGTGGAAAACTTGGGCCTGATCGATTCTCCGTATGTCTCTCCTTAAGGGTTGTGAGAGAAGTTCTAGCCTTTCCAACCCACTATTTCCATTGCCCCAGCATTCTTTGCTATTCATTATTAATTGGTGTGAGAAGGCTTTTTGAGCATCCTCAAGCAAGAAAACCAGTTTGGAATTGTAGTCAGCTTAGATAGATATAAAGTGGTCCATAATTCCAGTGTTTGATATTTTCAAGTATTATGTCATTTATTTTTGTGTTAAGCCATGGAAGAATATACAGTGTTTTTATACTTATCTAGAGTAGTGAATATCCATCTAGAATGAAATCTTTAGAGAATAATTGTGTGAAAATAATATACTGATACTGGATAAGGCAAATAATTCATGATGTCACTTCTATATATGAAAAGAGAAATGAACACATATAGTATTTCAGGTTGTAATTACTCATCAGCCATGAAGGCAGGCTTTTCCTTTGCTTTTGATGGACCACTTTAAAATAACTTTATTGAGGTTTAACTTGCATTACTTACAATTGACTCATTTAAAGTATATCATTAAATGATTTTTAATATATTTGCAGACTTATGTAGCCATCACCACAATATGATTTTAGAATATTTCACTCCCCCTTTTTCCCCCTTCCACATCTCTCAAGCCCCCCCCCCCCCAGGATATTATATTCCCATTAGTGGCATTTCTTGTCTTATTCTCCTCTCCTCAAACTGCCCCTACTCCCATCCCTTAGCAAGTATTAAGATTTTCTTTATAGATCTGCTTGTTCTGGACATTTCATGTAAATGGGATCATAGAATATATGATTATTTGTGACTGGCTTCCTTCAGTTAGTGTAACCTTTTCGAGGTCTACTCATAATGTAGTATGTATCAGCACCTAGTTTCCTTTTATTATAAAATACTTGTTTATTGTATGGATACAACTTATTTGTTTCTCCATTTACCACTGGATGAACATTTGAATTGTTTTTACTGTGGGCAGTTGTGACTAATGCAATGAACCTTTGTGTATAAGTATTTGGATGTACACATCTTTTAATTTCTTCTGGCATGGAGTTGTTAGGTTGTATAGTTTACTTTTTCATGTTTACTTTTTAAAGAAACTATTAAACTGTTCTCTTGAGTGACTGTCTCAACATTTCCACAGGCACTTTATGATTATTGTAGTTTTTCTACATTCCTGCTAATAAATATTTTCATCTGTCCTTTTGATTATTGCATTTTTAGTGGCGATATAGTTATATCTCATCAATTTAATTTGTATTTCATAGTGTGGAAAGGTATTGAGAATTTTAAAATGTATTTGTTGACCATTTATGAATCTCTTTAGAAGAAAGTCTGTTCAACTCCTTTGCCAAATTCTAACTGGGTAGAAATTTTAATGAACTACTTATGTAGTTACATTTCGTGATGACTCACTTTTTCTCAGATGACATTTCCTGATTAGTTGCTTGTGATTCTTAAAATAGTCGTGATAGTCTTTCAATTTGGATGAAATATACTTTTATATTAATAACAAATTTTTAATGTTTTTTAGGTCACACTGCAGAATCGAGTATCGTTGCAAAAAGTCAAATTATCAGTCTATGTGCAGCCACCATTAGTGTTGACTTGTGATCAGTTCACCTTTGAATCCATGGGTAAATTTTTTTTAAAGATTTATTTATTTGTGCATACAAGAACTGGGTACAGACTAGAAATGCAGGGGTGAAAGGATTCACCAGAGACAGAGAGGGGAACTGGACAGGCAGATGTACTGAAACACACTGCTGAGGGGAGTGGCAGTTGAGACAGGAGAGCTCCCTGGTTGTGGATAGCTTCAGAGTGCGGTGCTTAACCCTTTGTGCCACCAGGGAGGCCCAACAGGCTAATGTTTTGTTTTGACTTGATGTCTATTAAGGCATGAGGTTTCTTTTTATTAATTTTCTTTATTAGTGTGTTTATTTCATGACTGTATTTCTTGTCTGAATAGTGAGACTGGAATCTTACTGAAATCATTGATTGTTTTGCTTATACATTTTCCCATAAACATCAAGCATGGACTTTCAGTGAATGAGGGTTGAGTTGAAGTAATTACAGATTTCCTTGTATTTCCCTTAACAAGTTGGACCTGTAATTGTACTTAAATACTATAATTTGGAAGGTGTTTTTTATTGGTGTTTCTCTGGTGACCTATTTATTGAATCAGTAATGTTTGAAGAAAGAATATTGGCTTTGGAGTCTGGCCTGAATTTGAATCTTGGCTCTGACACTCAGTAGGTAACCTTGGGCATGCTGCTTTTGTAATTACTTGGAGCCTCAGTTTTTTTAATCTGCAAAAGGGGATAATGATATTTGTTTTACAGGGCTGTTTTGAAGTTTAATCAGAAAATGAATCTCTGTGAGATATTTATAATAGCCCTAAAATGTAGGTATATTGTGAATGAAAACTTATGTAAGATTTCTTTCCATAGAACCTATTACCTCCTACCACTTAGATCGAAGTTGTTATTGGTCCTGTTAAAATGATTTACGAATTATCTTTCAAGTTTTTTTCACTCAGTGTTTACTATTGTATCTCTTTTGTTCAATAATATGTGACATAATACTTTGACATTGCTCATAGAACCAGAGATGACCAGAACAGTAGCCTTTTCTGTTTATCTGAAAGGAAGTTATATGCCATCTGAATTGGAAGGAAATGCTGTTGTTTCTTATTCAAGGCCAACAGGTAAACATTGTTTGAAAATTTATAAACATAATCATGCCTTTTAATTTATTGGGTTTATGGGATAAATGTTTAAGTTTTAAAGATGGGAAAACAGATCATAAAATACTAGTGTTCTTTTTAACATTAATTGAAATTGTATGTCTATTTCACAATTTTATATTTTGAGTCATTAGTGATAGTTGATTTAGCTGATTTCCACATGAAAATTTGATTGTATATTTTCAATTAATAGCAAATATATTTTCATTTCCACTAGAAGTATGGTGTCTATCATTCATTTATTGGAACTCAAGAAAAAGACTAGTGTGAATTAGTGGAAAAGATCGGTATTACTCTGACATTAAGACAGTATTCAGACTTACAGACATTGTTTTAGTGATTAAATAAAAATTTTGTGTCTTACATGTTAAAATATTTAAGAACAAATCCTCTGAAATGTGATCTGTGTTTTATCAAGACATTATTAAATTAAAAAATTATGTTCAGTTGATGTTCGGTTGTTGTAAGCTTCAATTTACTTTGGTACAATTTTGTAGTTGTTTCTTCCTGTGTAGTGGTTTTTTTGTGGTAGCAATTTGACAATCAGTGGATTTGTAGAGTAAGAATAATCAGTCATTTCAAAAAATTGAGAGAGAATACTTTCAATCATACGCAGTGAGGACATTACCCTAATACTCAAACCAGACCAGACAAAGATAACATAGACACACATAAACTACAGATCAATTTCTCTAATGAACAAAATTTCCCTTAACAAAATCTTAGCAAACTGAATGCAATAATGTGTTAAAATGGTTATACACCATGCACATATGGGATTTATACTAGGGACACAAGGATGGTTCAACATCTGAAAATTAATCAATGTAATTCATCACCTCAATAAAATTAAAGATTAAAAATCATTTGATCATATCTATAGATGCAGAAAAAAGTATTTGATAAGATTAAGCATCTGCTTATAATGAGAATACTTTAAAAAGTGAGGACAAATGCAAAAAAACTCAATATAATAAAGCCATGTATAACAAACCCATAGCTAATTTTTCAATGTTGAAAATCTGAAAACTTTTATACTAAGGTCTGGTTACAAGACAAAGATATTTATTTTTACCACTATTATTCAACATAACATTGGAAGCATAGAGTCATTAGGCAAGAGAAGAATATAAAATAAATCTTAATTGGGAAAGAAGTAAAGCTATCATAATTCATGGATGATATGATCATGTACATAGTGATTCCTATGGGCTATACTGAAAACCAATGAAGCAATAAATGACTGCAGCAAAGTGGCAAGTTATAAAATTAATCACAAAAACCAGTTACCTTCCTATATGCAAATAGTAGGCTACGAGTAAGAGAAAGTACCATAACAACCCTAATTAAAATGACTTTGCCCAGGGTTGAATACAAAGGAGGTGAAGAATATTTACAAGGCAAACTATAAGACATTGTTAAAACAAGTAGAAGATAACCATGAAGTAACAAGATGTTCCCTGTTTATGGATTGGAAGAATTAACATAGTCAGAATGGCAATTTTACATAAATAAATATACAGACTCAATACAGTGCCTATCATTATTTCAGTGGCATTTTTTGGAGAAATAGAGCAAACATTATTGATGCTCATATGGAAAAACATTACTGAAGTCCATATGGAACCAATAGCCAAGCAATCCTGTTAAAAAAGGAGGAAGAGAGCTGATACCACATTCCAGAGTTCAAACTATACTAAAAAGCTCTACTGTAATAATTAAAACAGCATGGCACTGAAATATTGGTCAGACATAGAGACAATAATTGAGAGCCCCAAATAAACATACACCTATATGGATACTTAACTTACAACAAAGGAATCAAGCATACACTTTGGATTAAGGAAAGCTTCTTCAGTAAGTACTTTTGGGAAAATTGGACAGACAACTGCATTCAAAAATATGAAATCAGGCCAGTATGTAACCCCATACACAAAATGTAACTCAAAATGGATGAGACTTGGATGTAAGACCTGAATAAATAGAAGAAAACATAGGCAAAATACTCCATAACATAGACTACAGAGATGTCTTTGTGGATTCATTTTTCAGCAGCAAGGAAAACAAAAGAGACTATAAACAACTAGGGCTGCATTAAAAAGGTTCTGTACAGTGAAAGGAATTATCATCAAAACAAAACAATACTACACAGAATGGGAGAAAATATTCACACACATCTGACAAGTGGCTAATGTCCAAGATCTACAGAGAATTCATGCAACTCAACAAAAGTAAAATGAAGAACCAAAAAAAAAAAAAAACAACATAAGTGCTAATGGGCACTTCTCCAAAGAAGACATACAATGGCCAATAGGCACAGGAAAAACACTTTATCATCAGAGAAGTGCAAGTTAAGATCACAGTGAGAGCTACCATTTTATACTCTGGCAAAGTATATCAAGAAGACCAGAATGACTGCTGGCAAGGTATGCAGAAAAGGGACCTTCACAGTTGGTGTTTATGTAGACTGGCCCAACCCCTGTGGAAAATAGTATGGAGGTTTCAACAAAAATTAAAAATGGATCTTCCATATGATAACCAAATAATTCCACTCTTAGATGTGCATATGAGAATTCAGAAATACAAATTTGAAAGAAAACTTGAATTCCTATATTTATTGCTATACTATTTACTATAGCTAAATTATGGAAACAACCTAAGTGCTCCCAAACAGCTGAGTGAATTAGAAAGATGTGGTATATGTACCTGGTAGAATATTACGCAGCTATCCAAAAGGATAAATTGTTACCATTTGTGACAACATGGATGGAACTGGCAAAGATTCTGCTAAGGGAAATAAATTAGAAGGAGAAAGAGAAAAATTGGACTGTATCACTTATATGTGCAATATAGAGAAACCAAACAAAGGATCAAATCAAGCCAAACTAAGAACTAATCCTAGAAGGCTGACTATGGAACTGAGGCTCTCAGAAGGCTTGGGAGAGAGCAAGATAGGGAGGGAGGCTATGGTGGACTATGGTGGTATTCTCTGCGTGTTTTGATACTAGGTACAGTGTGGTAATAATACTTGAAGGCGAAGATGTACTTCTGAAACACAAGCAATGATATAATCCACTGTTACCTCAATTAAAAAAATAATCAGCTGTTACTTTTTTAAAACATTTAATATTGTATAACTGATATCAGTGTATTCAGCAATGTTAGATATGTGTGCATTTTATAAGTATTTCTGTATGATTGTCTTAGTTTTATAAGATTTAGAGATGTCTTATTCACTTTCCCTCTCCCTCCCCCCTGTATTGATGCTCACATTTATTTAGTAGTGTTTCCAATATTTGTTGTTTTAGTTTGCTAAGTAGATTTTCTGGCTTATGTATTGATAATACTGTTTGCTCAGAGGATTTTTAGAACTTTATTATATGTGGTCAGCATCAATTTCTTGTACTTTCTAAGGTACTTTGCTTTTAAATTGTTAAAAGAAGTATTTTTAACCAAAAAGGACATTAGTCTTTAGTAGTTTTTACTAACTATAAATACTATGTTTTTGTATTTTATGTATTTAATGCTCTTTGTCATATTTGCAAATTGACTTTGGTTTGCTATAGGCTCTAGATCATGTATGTTTTTTTACATGTATGTCTACATTCTATTTTTAAACAGATGTGTATTAAATTTGTTTTGGAATTGTGCAACTGACCATTTGCTGTATTCTTTCTCCCCTAATTCTATTTTGTGTTGCCTCTGATGGCTAGATCGAAATCCTGATGGTAAGTATGACGATACTTAGCACAAAATGAATTTCAGAACTGAAATTTTTTATTCAATAATTGACTTGGTAGTGTGCTACAAAAAGCTATTTTTAAGTACTGCTATTTAAAGAAACCTCTTTTTGTTGATTCAGTGCCTTGATCTTGGTAGAGAGAGGCTAGTAAATGTTTCCTCTCTTAGAGACTTGTCATTCATTATTAGCTGTTTGAGAATCATGAGAGAGAATGAAGCTCCATGACTTTTTTGAAAACAAAGGTGTCTTTGACCACTTTTCCCCATAAATCATTTGTGATTTACTTGTATGTTCTGTTATTATACTTAAATATTACGGAGGAAAAATGGATTTGTCACTGAATTCTAAATTGTCTGTTTTCTATATGCACCAACATATATATTTCTTTCTTTGATGAGAATGTCATAAGTTTTTATTCTGTGGACACATACCTTGTCTTGTTTAGCATTTGTGGGAGAATGTTATGAAGGGTGGGTCTAACCCCTTGAGCTTGTTTGGGTCAGTGATAATTGGTACCCATTTTGTACCTCCCAATTCCTTTTTTTATGACTCCTTTATTCCCTATCATACTATGGATTTCATTAGGTTTGTTCCTTAGGTTTCCCTATAGATTTTGAGCTCTTTGAGAATATGAGTACAGCAATCATCTTTCAATTGTTCAATATTGGGGTACATGACAGGCACTTTAAACATACCTCCACTGTGATTATTTTTTCTTCCTAGATATGGAATTAATGTGGTGGTTTCTCTTTATTAGATAGGTTAAAATAATTTCAGATAACAATATTAGTTGCTAATAATTAAATAAAATACTTAAAGAATACTGGCAATATTTATTCATATAATTTGATGATACCAACTTCTGAGTTGCATAGTATCTGGGAGTTGAAAATACATTTGTATGAGAAAATATTTTAATAGATGAAATATAAATGTTAACTTAGAATTTGGGTTATTAAATAATAACTATTTTTAATAGTGAATATTTACATTTTAATTATAAGACTGCTTACAGCTGCTAGGGTTTTGCACAGTACTTTATGACATACTTTATTAAATTTTAAAAATCAGTAAGGTTTATCAGTGAAAATTTACCTCTTCTCACTCTAAATTCAGCCTCAGCCATGAGGAAAAAAATCGATGTATGGGAATTTTAGCATTTCAATACAAAGCTGAGGCTGGTTTTGATAACTTCTTATATATATGTTTAAGAGTTATAATTAAGCTTCAGGGAGTAGAAATGAAATATTCAACCTCACTTAGTACTTAAGAAAATATTATGTTGCCATTTGGATCTTACTTACACAGAGGCTTCAAATTTCAAAGGCTGGTTCATTTTATTGGCCTGATCTGTTCTGGCTGTATTGTAGATAAGCAGTCCTGCTTTCACATGTGGGAAAAAAAATGCAAGTGAGGTTTTATGTTGTCCCATAAGAGTTAGTCTCCATTATTTCTGCATTAAAGTTACATGACATGGGTAGTGTAAAACATGGCAGCAGATGGAGCACAGTACGTAGCCAGACATAACAGGAAGGGATCAAGGAAGTTCTGGCTACCAGACATTGCTACTGCTTTGGGGTTCCTTGTTTTCAATATGAAATGACTCTAGCAGGCCCTGGGAAAGAGTTCTAAGGGCATTCTGTGGATGTGTAATATATAGTTATTCTATTCTGACATATATGTTCTTTTTAAAAATCACCTTTTGACTTCTTTTTTGTCAGTAATACTGGACTCTTGGGTGTGCCAGATAGAATTAGAATTCTCTTCCTGGAAAAACTGTTCTGTCAGAAGTGGTTTTGATGTGAATTTTCTAATTGTTAAATTTTGTGATTAATTGCAGTATAGTGTTTGAGACTACCCATTTCCTATAGTAGGCTAGGTAGAAAGCATTTGAAGGAGAGGTGATTTTATTTGGTAAAAAATTTCAGAATGCAGTCAGTCTGATGAATGAATCGTTCAGTATTTGAGTATTATAGATAACAAAGTTTTCTTTTTCTGTGGCATAACCCAGAAATTGAATAGGCCAGATATGCAAAGCAAACTGGGTGGTTTTTTTTTTTTTTTTTTGCCAATTACATAATGAAAATATAAGGCATTTGATGTTAGCATAATGAACATCAATTAACATCTTTCCACTAAGTTGAAAGTTTTTCTACTAGCAACTTTGAGAAGTCTTTAAGTACATGTAATGTGTTATTTCATTTTTGCAGACATTTATATGTCTTTTACACATAGCTGCATGTATCTAGCTTCAGATTCTTAGAAACAATTACAGTCTGAAGTATAAATGATAGCAAAATATACCTTTTATGTTTCCAAGAAAATGTTAATTTCAATGGAAATGTGCCCCTGATGAACTCTATTTCTAAGTACTAGAGACTCTACTTTGAAATGCTTGGGTTTTAATTTGATGGGAAGGAATATGAAATACTGGCATTGTAATTTGCTTTTCAAAGATATCATTTCCTTAGGCTGCCTTCTAAAGGATTTTATACCCTCCCAATCCCCCGCCCCCCCCACCCCTAAAACTTCTTAAGCTGACTCGTTTAAAAAATAACCATAATCAATCGGTTAAAAAAAATAACCATAATCACTTTATTAAGTATCAGTGTCATCATTTTTCAAAGTAATGTTTTCCAAATGTCCTATGAAGCAGGTTTATTATTCCTAGAAAAAAAGAAATTCTGGAAGAGTTCTACAAATCTTAGCAACTACAGACTGTTGCTTAAGTGTGTGATATTGTCATTAACTGACCTGACTGAACTGTGAATTGAGTTATAATGTATTTTCTTTCTTGGCTTTATTAGTGCTTGCAAACTATTTGCTTATATTTCCAAAAACATTTATATACCCCAGTTTCTTTAACTATGGGTTCTAGGAGGTTTTAGGCAGTAATCTTCAAATGTATAGTCAGTTACATAGGCCTCTCTTGATCATGATTAATTTTTTTTTAACCTCAAATTCAGTCAGTACCTGGTTCAGAGTGGAGACTACCGTTTGTATAAAGTGGAGACTACAGTTTGTATAATAGCATAATTTTTGGAGAACATTTTCAGGCATATTTTGTATGAACATTTAGTTCAAACTTTGGTGAAAGTATATAGGAGATACCTTTTCTTTGTGTTGTCACAGGATGAAACTTTTTTGTTTTTTTATTCATTAAAAATGAAAGATATGGAAATAGTTTGAGTTTCCTGTTGTTTCTAGACTATATCACTTAGTTGAGGTTATAATTTATATAATGTAGAGGCAACATCTTTAGTAGGTATAGTTTCATAATTTAGAGAGATAGGGAATATATGAAATATCCTTGAAGCTGGAAAAAAATGTTTCATAATTTTTTTGTGGTGATGTTGATAGTTGTGGCTTGAGCAGTAGCTTAGATCACATTACCATAATATTTTGAGTCAAAACATCTCATCATTGTAAAGTACAAATACACATGGCTCTGAAGCCTCACAGAATATCAGGAAATAAATGCCTTGGGATTTTTCTAAAGAGACACCAGTTATAATTTGCATCTCTAAGATTCCAAGAGAAGTGAATTTAACATCTGTTGGTTATGAACAAAAATGAGCTATGTAAAATTTGATGGATAATAGATTATGTGGAAGAGAATGACAAATATGCTCCACATGCCCTGAAAAAGTATTTAATTGGCCTCATATATCAATATGCTTGCCTTTGTTGATGATTCTCACTATCCCAGTGAGTAAGAAGTACTGAGAAGTGTATACTCCCAGCTTGGATATGGAATTGACCTTAACAAAATATATTGCTAATTCTAGGAATCCTGCCTTGGAATCATGTATCCAAAGTTCAACCATGTCTGCTTTTGTTATTTTTAAGCTGCTCACTCACATTCTATTACAAAGAAACAAAGGAATCAATGTGTTCGATAGACCAAATAGAACATTTTAAGTTTTCCATTTCTCTATGGCATATATGTAAAGATATAGGTTTCTATATTTTGTATATAAAGATATAGATTTCTATATTTTGTATATAAAGATACAGGTTTCTATATCGAAAATAGAATATTAAAATAATAGGAAGACAACCTAACATGAAGAATCGTTTTTCTAGATTTATAGCACAGAGCCTAATTTGCTTTGGTTTTAGTTTCATTCTAGTTTCATTCTTTATAGAAATATTTAGGGGAATGATTTAAAAAAAAACTTTAAATTGAAGCATAAAACTCTTTCAGTAACCTGTTTAAGTAAGCTTGAGTTTATTTTGAAAAATTTGACAATTGAATGGCTGTGTTGAACCTCACTTAATAGTGATAAAGTAAAATGGATTCAAAAAATATATAATTTATTTGAAAGTAATGTGCTTAATATTAATATATAAAATGGACATCAACTTAAGGAGAACACGCAGGCACAGTTTGCTCATAACTTATTCAAATCTGTTAATGTACTTTGATTCTTCAATGAATAGGAAATTTAAAGATTAAAAACTTTTTGGAGTAGGGAATTACTAGATATGATCCTACAGAGACTTTCAGATTTAAATTTCATATTCTTAGAACATTTTAGTTTATAGTTTGGATTGAGGCAGGAGCTCAGAATGTCTTCATTAAAAATCTTAGCTTAGTAATTCAATATAACTGTATGTAAATTTTATATAGTGTTCAACTGTGATCATTCAAACAGTCTATTAAGTGAAGATAGATCTTTATTTTGGTTATGTGCTTTTTGACTGTAACAAAATGAGAACACTTTGCAGTTATTTCAATTATACTAAAAGAAATGGACTGGAAATAGACTTTCAAAGTATATATGTTGTTATGCTTCTAGTCATACAAATAATTTTGGTCAAATCTGTTTGACCAAAATTTATTTTGTCGAATCTGAAAATTTGCATTTCTCTTATTTCAGGCATTCCTCGAGTTATCCAGTGTAAATTTAGACTTCCCCTGAATTTAATATGCCTTCCTGGTCAGCCTTCAAAAACTGCAAGCCACAAACTAACAATCGATACTAACAAATCTCCAGTTAGTCTTCTCAGTCTCTTTCCAGGTAAGACTTTTGAAGTAACTTGCCTGTAACATCAGAAATGTTAAGAATTTAGAATGGAATCCCTCATCAGCAGATAATGATGGGGTAATTATCAGATAATTGTTAAGTAAGAATATGAAAATGCCTCAAGGATTTTCTCCTCTTGTTCCCTTGTTCAAAGGCACATAGCTTATATCAACAAGGTAATAAGGTGTACCTTTTAAGTTTGATTAAAATTATTATAATCATTATTTTGCTTCAGTATTCAGAAATGAAAGCATCAAATCTTTCTTTTTAGACTGTGGAATTTTCTGACTTGGATTGTAAATATTTATTATTCATCTTCATTGAAGGTTTTTGATATGGACCTTTTAAAGTTATATTCTTGTGCCCCTGAAAAGTAATCTCATAAATAGGTGTTCTTTGTAATTCTTCTATCTCTGGCAGCTGGAGGGGTGAATGTTCATTCTCTGACTATGATCATTTAGAAGGTGCTTCATCTTTAAAGCTTGAATATGACAGTGACTATTTGGGGTAATTTGTGAAGGTGTGACTTTCTCGTGGTGTCATTTTTTCCCTTCTGAGTAGCTTATAAAATAGTGATGCTGATTGGATAAAGTGTCTCATTAGCCAGCGTTGTTCATGTGTCACATCTATTAATTTTCTTGGTGATGGGGTGAATTAAAAAAAATATGGGAATCAAATGAACCCTTTTAAATCCCTCATTAAAACTCAGCACTGTTGGCTATGTGATACATCTTTGCTCTTGTATTAGTGATAGGATTTAGAATACAAAGAGTATTTCCCACAGGTTTAGAAATGTATGGTAAGTCGACTTTTATGTTATTAAACTACTTCAAGGGCTTAAAATTTATTTTTCATTATTTGAAAAATTTTTAAGGGCTTTATTTACATATAATTTTATGAAAAATATCCAAAATTAAGTGCGCTGTATTATAGTTAATCTCTACTTTGAGTTTGAATGTATTTTGAAATATTTAGCAAATAGTTTTATTTTATGCCTTTGCTTTCTTTTTTCCTCTTTTCCCATTTGCTTTCTTTTTCTTTCCCTTCCTGTTTGTCATGATTCTTATAAAAATATGAATTATAAAAGATAGAGTGACTACATTTGTAACATTTTCCATAATGTATTAGTTCCTTGTGTTTCCTATACTATCCTGGTGATATATGAATAGTTGGAAATTATATGTTGAACACAAATTTACTGGTGCTTCTGAGAAATTTTTAAGATGCTGGCTTTTGAGAAATTGATCTTTATTATAAGTAGATAAAGTCCAGAGAGACTGAATTAAAATGCATGCTTTTGGTCAGAGAGGTAATTTCTGTAAGAAATGGTTTGGGCAGGATATACAAAGGAAAGTTTAAAGGACTCCTCCATGTTCCTCATGATTTTGGGTTCAGTTGTTTTGATATCATAGGTATCTTATACTCATCAGTATCTATATCATTTTACTTACTTTAGAATTTGAACTCAGTGACAAATTAAAAAAAAAATTCCCTCAAGTTCCAGTGTATGTGGTATTGCATATTTTTCTTTTAGAATGCCTAGATTTATTTTCATATTGAATAAGCTGGAATCCTGTAATTACTAAATAAGTATTCTTGGTACTCTACTTTCCCAGGGTATTTTTCTTTCCCTGGGTATATAGAGGACTTACATGTTGATATCAGATGAATTTTCTACTGTAAATCTTCTGTCTGTTTTTTAACTGAAATAAAATTTGTGAGCATTCTAAGGGAGACATAAAACTACTTTAATCTATATCTCTGCCTACTTGTTCATTTCGCTTCTGTTTTGTGAACAGATACAGGTATATTTAAAATAGCTTTAATTAGCCTGTTACAGAAGAACTGTGAAATTTAGAATGGGTGACCAAAAAGAAGAAAATAAAATTTGCTGGTAATTTTACCTTCTAGCAATATGTGTTTATATTTTATTCTATATTCCTAATATTCAATACTGTTTTCTGTGTATTTCATTCCAAGATATCTTAATTTGCTTTCTTTTTTGGAGATATCTTTCTATATAATTAGATATTTTACTTCATAATTTTAATGACTGCACTACATGCTAACAATCATTTGACAAGCAATATGTTTTCAACATTTGTGTTGTGTTCAAACCATTTTTAATAGTATAAATCTTTTTGTGGCAGTATTTATCAAAAAAACTATCTGAGGTCCTTTTGGCTAAGTGTGACTTAAACAATAAAAAATTACTTTTAAACATCTCTTATAAAACACAGCCAAGAAATGGAACGGTGGAAGTGGTATACTAGTTCACTTATTTTATTGAAGATCTAATTTTTGTCTTTCTTTGCTTGGTCTGTGGCAATAAGACAGCTTCTTCAATTTGGGCATTGTTACTGACTACAAAGACTGGAGGCAGAGGAGAGAAGGACAAGTGACAGCAAGGGCTATGACTTTAATCAGAAAGGCATATTTCTGGAAAGGTCTTAAGGACATTTCAGCAGTGGCTTCAGTATCAATAATTTTGTGAAATGACCTCCTCCGGGACTTGAGAACTAGTGTAGACGGGCCAGGGAAGAGGAGGTTGGGAATAGATGTGGAAACTACACCAATATTTTACTTAATAATAACAAGAAACAGTATTTTTATGCTACTCAAATATATGGCTGACTTTCCTTCCAGTGTTTAGAGGGGTCTTTTACATGCAATATTTGTGTACTTACCTATTTCTCAAAGAAGGAATTCCTTAACGATAAATATTAAAGAGTATGCACATTTAAGAACATTATTTAATGCCAAATCACCTTCCAGAATAACTGTTACCAGGTCACATACCCAATATCAAGTTCATATCCAGAGTAGCAGTTGAACTTGTTAGGTCTTTCTTCAGTTTTGACATGGATGGGTAAAGATGATCTCTCTTTAAAATTTGCATGTACAAGTATTTATTAGCAAAGACATTTAAACTTTTATTAGCGACTGTATAATTTCTTAAATGTATAGGCTTATATTTTTAAATAGTAATATTTATTTAAAAATTTAATTTTATTAAATGCTTTATTATTTCGAGTTTCATGTTATGCTTAGAGTGGTTTCTATTTTAAGATTATAAGATATTTACTTACATTTTATCCTCAAACACTTTAATATGTCCTTTAAGTCTCAAACACAGCTCCAATGTATTTTTTGCTTTCTTAACACACTTATTGAAGTATAATAGATGTATCATGAATTGTATATGTTCAAAGTGTTCAATTTGGTAACTTTTGATGATTGTAAATTTTTTTTTCTAAGCAGTAAAGGAGGTTAATGTATTTGATTCTTGTTTGTCAGGAATCACTGTGTTTATTTTCTGATATCTGATATCTCAAAAAATTGTTTTATGTGTTATGGCCTATTTTCTTAGTTGCTTCAGATGGAAGACAAAATATGACTCTAATTTATCTGTCTAGGCTCAAAGGGAACATCTCCAATGTATTTTGTTTGTTTGTTTTTCAGGATCTCATTTTCTAATATTTAAAAAAAAATAAACAAGAACTAATGGAATCAGTTTTGATTATTTTGCCATATGGCAAAATGAATAGTGGTTATGCTTTCATTATGGGATACATAATACCTGTTTGTCTCCTTTATTGGTGCTGATAACAGCCATTAATATTCAATAATGAGGTCATTTAATTTATTGGAAGTTGGAAAATGGCAATATTTTCAGTTTTTAATTTGAATATTTCCATACAGAGAATCTTTCCCTAATATGCTATTGGTTGTGTGGTGCAATGTGAACAGGCTCATTAGGACAAATGCTTGATTCTTTGTCCTTATTACTGATTTCAAAAATAATGAATTGACTTTAGGATTCTCAGTAGTGTCGGTTGGCCTTTTTTGTTTTGCTTTATTATTAATATTTAGTGTTAATAACATGCATTTAAATAAATATATTTGATGGAGTGAATGCCATTACAGTTATCTTTATGATACTCACATGTTTTCATTTCTGGCCAGTGGTAGTCCTTCTAAGTTAACTCATATGTCCTTTTCATAGAACTCTTCCTTGCTGAATGGTGTTCTGGGTTCATTTTGTGCATTTACTATTTCAGACCTAGAATAAACTGTAGAAGATAGGAACTTAAATGTTTCCAGTGTGGTACCATGAGGCAGCAATGTTAGCAGTTGTAATGTACTGTGGAAATCAGTTAGTTTACTATAGTTTATGCATAGGCTTTAAACACAGCATGACATTAAAAAAAAACTAAGCTTCCTGTTTGAAACATTAAGTGTCTTGATCATGGTCATTATGTAAGGTGACTTCTTTTCTTTGTAGGCTTTGCCAATCATTCAGAAGATGAGCAGGTGAATGTAATGGGTTTTCGCTTATTAGGAGGCTCTGGAGTTACTCTTCTTGCTTCTAAAACCTCTCGTAAGTAAAACCATGATATTACTTCTTTTGAAATTTTCTGCTGAAGACACTACATCGAGATCATTATGTCAAGGATTTCTGCAAAGTGTATGAGTTAATTAGATATTGAAAACCAACAGCCATGGAATTAAGTTTATGGTATCTAGAAGTTAAAAAGATATTATCTTGTTTTTTAGAAATATATAACTTTAGGTTTGGAAAGTAGGATAGCTTTAGAGAGGAAATTAAAGAACTGAAAAATGTTTTTGAGATAAATATATGCTGAGATAGTCCTTAGGAACTAGCAAAAACTTTTTTTGTGTTTATATTGTCATGTCTTCCTTTGGGCATTCAGAAAGATGAAGGTGAAACTGAATGACTTTTTTGCATCTACTAATCTTAGTAGAATGAAAAGTAGTAATTATTGAATCAGCTTTAAATTTCAAATTTAAATATGCTTTATTGATTGATCACCTGATGAGAAATAATCGTTAAAACTATTCAATATAAAGCTGACTTCTGTTTTATGTAGGCTATTGAAGCTATTCAGATCACTGACTTATATACACCTTCATGGAAATAAAATGCAAAACATTTTGAAAGATTTTATTTATTTTTGCATAGAACAACTGGGGTATAGGCCAGAGTTTCATTGGGAAATTGCACAAGTTTGCTCTATACTGAAGATGCAATTGAGTCCATTAAAAACAAAACAAATGTTATTCTTTGTGAAATGGAGATATTTGTGTCCTAATATAAAATAATAATTATATTTATTATTTTTAGATAAAATAACTCCTAGTATTATGTTACCCATGATTACCTTACATTTCACCAAATATACAGATATATAATTAACTTACTCAAATTCACCTGATTATATGACAATACTTTGATGCAGTTGTACTATGTGCAGACATTTTAATCAATGAATAGGACAGGATTTCTTATATATAAAAAAAGTTTTTCTGTGTTTTCCACATATTCACCTGTTTTTCAAAACCAGCTTGATAATCAACCAAGCTTGAAGTAAGCTGTATGACCTTTATTTTTAATTTAAAGCAATGATTTTTTTTATGAAAAGGTAATGCCTCTTTCATTCTTATCTTTGAAAACCTAATTTTTTCCTCTAATCTTTGAGATTAATGGAGATAAGAATGTCAGCAAATTGAATGTCACTTGTGAGTATGAAATACACCATGAATATTAGTACTATGAACTTTTAAACACTAAAGCTCAGGCTTTTATTAATTTTAGTTAATTTTTGTATATTGTGTGAGATAATAGTCTGTAGTTTTTGCATGTGGTAGTCCAATTTCCCCAGCACCATTTATTGAAAAGGCTTTCCTTGTTGCAGTATGTATACTTTGCTCCTTTGTTGAATATCAGTTATGTATAAATGTGTAGTTTTATTTCCAGGCTCTCAGTTCTACTCCAGTGGACTGTGTGTCTGTTTTTGTTTTAGTACCATACTGTTTTAATTATTATGGTTTTAGTATAGCTTGAAGCCTAGAAGTATGATACCTCCATTTTCCTCCTTTTAGTCAAGAGAGCTTTGGTTATTTGAGATTTGTTGTTGTTGTCATTCCATATGAATTTTAGTAATTTTTGTTCTATTTCTTTGAAGAATACCATTGGGATTTTTGTTGGGATATCATTGAATCTCTAAATTGCTTTGGGTAGGATGGCAATTTTGACAATGCTGATTCTTTCAATATGATTGTACTTTAACATACAATCTGTCTGATACCTATCTCATGCCTCTGTGAACATATTAATGTGTACAGTGATTCATCAATTTAATAATACTGTTGATTGCATCTAAGAATTTCTTGGCAGTGTATTAGGGGACAGTAGGAATATTTTATAAATCCAATGCGGAAAAAGCTTTTTGAAAAGTATATTTAGAGAAATCATCCATAGTTTCTTCTGACATTGAAGAAGTTGTATATTTATGATATTACACTATGCAGACTCAAATGTTTATATTATTTCCTTCAAATTTTTGGTTGAAAAAGCATTCTTCATATGCTTTTCCAATCTCACATTGAAAAATTTCCAAGTAGCATGAATTATTTTGATGCTTTGTTTATGACATGAATACAAACATTATTTAGATTGATGAACTTCAGATGTTTTGACATGAAAAAAGATTGACTTGATGCACATTTGTGCCTTGCTTAGTTAAATATATTTTTTTCTCTATTTGTAGTAGAGTGGAATGGTAATTGATTGGGCTCCAATCATCCAAGCTTATTTAATTTGGAAACAGAAATGGTTATTTCCACTAGCTGCTATTATAAGATGAAGGGCAAAGAGATAAAATATAAATTGAATGTTCTTTTAATTACCAATATTGTGAGGTATATTTAAAAATACAGTTTTCTTCTTTCATTTCTATTATGAACAGAAAAATTTTCTTTTTTCCTTAACATTAAATGTATAATCTGGAATATCTCCAGGTCAGTGTTGACCATTTTGGATTACTTATATTGAGAAAATGTTTAATAATCAAATAATGCTTTTAAATCTTTAACTCATTGACTTTTGTTGATTTAAAATTTTTCTGAAAAAAATTAAAATATTGTGTTTATATTTCTAAACTCCAAATTTAATGGTAAATTTTTATTCAAATAAAGTTAAACCTGCACGTGCTGATTAAAAAAATAATTAAAGCCAAAAGTTTAAAGTTATAGTTTCATGCCATTTTTAATGATTATTATGTTTTTATATTTCTATTATTTGGTGACATTCATGTGTTATACTTGGTTACAGCAAAATATTGTCTTGGTCTATTTGGGATGCTATTGTAAAATACCATAAGTTGAATTGCTTTTACACAAGAGATACTTATTTTTCACCATTTTGGAGGCTGGGATATCCAAGATCAAGGCTCTGGAAGATGTGGCTGTGCTTTTACTATGTCTCACAAGGAAGAAGGGTCAAGGGAACTCTCTGGGCCTCTTTTAAGGGCACTAATGTTATCCATGATGGCTCCACCCTCATGACCTAATGACTGCCCTGGGTCCCTCTGTTAGATACTATCACACCAGGTATTAGGATTTAATATATGAGCTCCTTGTAGATCTTGGGTATCAGCCCATTGTCAGATGTACGATCTGTTCTTTCAGTCTGTGGGGTGTCTTTGTTTTGGTGAGACTTTCTTTCTTTTATTGTACAGAAGTTTTTTAATTGATGTAGTCTCAATTGTTTATATTCTTTTTTTTTTTTTTTACTGTTGGAGATGAATCCATAAACATTTCTCTGAACTCTATGTCATGGATTATTTTGCCTGTGTTTTCTTCTAAATATTTTATGATTTCAAGTCTTATATCCAAGTCTCTTATTTTTGAATTAATTTTTGTATATGGCATGAGATAGTACTTTAGTTTCATTCTTTGTATATGGCTTTTCCATAAAGGGAATTATGTTTTATTTCTTTGAATTATCCTTTTCCTTTGAACCTGCTGCACATGACTTTTCTGTTTTTTTATTTTTGGCAAGTGAAAGTCTTCGTTTTCCAATGGGGGCTTGAGATGGGTCACTCAGGGAGTTTCTAGGCTCTGTTGAGATGATTCAACTTGGTAAAAAGAAAAGGGACATGCTTAGACCTATCCACAATTCATTTTTCAGATTAGGGTTTTATACTCTCATATTGGACAAGGGGGCAGACGTTAACACTTTTTTGCAACCTGCAGGGAATTACTCATCTTGGACAGGCCCTGTGCCTTCCTGGGAAGGAAGTACTGGGAGAATGTAGCCCTGTGCCTTCCTGGGAAGGAAGTACTGGAATTCATAATGTTGGATGTCTTAGTGCTGGCATGGGCCACTGTGAAGACAGAACAGTCTATATCAAGTGTTCAGTTTTGCAGATACTGCCTACTATAAGGGTAGACATGACTGAGTTTGGCAGTGCCAACCTATATATAGACACACCTGTGATCATGACATCTGGCTCTGTCACTGACAGACATGCCTGTATTCTCTCAAGCCTGGACTACTGCACTGCATGGCTTCATTGCTTACATCTGCTCCAGTCAGTGAGGCCAGGTATAGGCAGGATCACAAAATAAACAAAGGAGATGTAATTAGCAAGTTCAGCTTTTTCCCTTAAGAGACTAGGTCCTTGTTTGTAGATAGAGGTAGGCTCTAGGTTGGAGCAAACACCTGCCCAAGATATAGCTAGACACACAGAAATACAGTGTCCTGGAGCCTGAAATAGAAGCCAAGTATCTGCCTAAGCGGGACAGATGGTCAGGACCTGGAGGGAGTGCTGAACTGGCACCAAATACCTGACCTAGATAGTGGAACAGACAGGTCTGTACCTCAAGTGATGTCCTGTTTTTCTTCCTCATTGAGTTATTTAACTCCTAGAGAGGCTTTCAAAAAACACCAAAGAATGCAGAACCTGTTCTTCCTATAGAGTGAGGTAGTTCCCAACCTCCTGAAGCAACTAACTCTATGAATAACTATAATCATACAATTCTTATTCTGCCTTCTCCCTTTGCAGCTCTTGTGATATTGTCTAAAATTCCTCTGCTATGTGACAGGCTGTCACTTACTTGAAAAATTCAATGGTATCTCTCCCCTGGGGTGGGGGGCATCTTGGAACTTCTGTGGCAATGTGAATCTTAATGGGGTGCTCCTGAATCAGTGATAGCCAAAACATTGTTCACTCTCCCCTTATCATTCCATGTTTCCAAGTCTCTTGGGGCAGTCTCTTGCTTTATTTTGGCAATAAAATGAGTCAGGTAAGTGAATTAAAGAGTGAATAAATAGCAGCATAGGCTTGATATTCTGGATCCCAAGCTTAGTCAAGATAGTACTTTAGTTTAGAGGATTCTGATACCATATTTTATCATCATCATTCTCCCTCCTGCTTCTCTGCTCTCAACCCACCATAATTATGCTCTATTTTTCATTCAAAGCATTAAACTTTGAGTGATGTTTATAATGAAAGGTGGAAGCTATTATATTTGATGTTGGTCCTACTAATTTTGGTTGAGAGAAATGAGGAAAGTACTAATCAGCACCATGGGCAGAGGTCACATCTAGAATAAAGCTGAAGCGAGGTGAAGCCTAGGGAATCTTCAACAGGATTATGTGGAAGAAACTAGAATGCTGTGGTCTGCAGTGACACACTAAGTGTATTTTATGCCTTACGCAGTTGAAAAAGAGGGTGACTTGGGGAGTGATAGTAAATATATTCTTGAATTCTAATGGAGGGTGACAAACAAAATTCTTAATAATTAAAGATATAAATATTTATGGAATTTATCAAGACCCCATGGGAAGTATAAACAAATATTTTGCCTGTCTCTGAATTGTGCTACCTTAATTAGACCTTTAGTCCTTAAGCAAGACACTGGATTCATCTTTGTATTCCCAACATTTCTTTATGAGATTGAACATAATAGTGTTTAATCAATAGTGAATTAAATGGAATAAAGGATTTATTCCTAGACTTTAAAAACTGTACAACTTTGGGCCCTCCCTAGTGGTGCAACGGGTTAAAGCACAGCACTATGAAGCTATGGCAGCCACTGCAGCATGAGTTCGATTCCTGACCAGGGAGCTGACCCACATGGTGCAGCAGACCTCTCCTGACCCGCCCACTGCTCTCTCAGCAGTGTACTTTGTTTATCTGCCTATTCTGCTCCCCAGTCTATCTCTGGTGAATCCTTTCACTCCCTGCACCTTGGCCTGTACCTCAGTTCTGTATGACTAAATAAATAAATCTTAAAAAAAATGTACAACTTTTTTGAAGAGACTGAATATAATCATTTAGAAAATTAAATAGAGATACATGGTAGTATGTGGTTATGTGCATAATGAAATGTAGTCATTCTGAGTATCTAAATTCAGAGTTTTTTTTTGAGATGTTTAAAATCAATGGTAATCTATGGATTAGTATTTAGAGTTCTATTTCCTGCTCTGTTACTAACTGGCTAGATATTCTTGCAGATTAATTAAACTCTTTGACTGAATTTATTTTTCTTGAAATGGTAATAACAATATTTCACCCCCCCCATAGGGCTGTTGAAATTTAAACAGGAAAGTGAATGTAAAGTGCTTAAGACAGTGCATGATACATATTTGATTGCTTAGATAGTGAGAAATAAACTTTTTTGGGAGGTGAGACTGAATCCAGATTCTGAAGAATAGGTAGGATTTAGACAGGTGGGGAAGAAGAGCATATATTATGAATACTAATGTGGACTTCAATTTGCTTTGTGACTGCTGGCAAGTCTGAAATTCTGTTACCTAATTTTCCTTTTTTATGAAAACAAGATGTTGCAATCACAGTGCTTGGTACATAGTTGTTGTTCAACAAATAATGGTTGCTCTTGTAATAGATGTAGTTATCATTGCCAACATCATCATCATCATCATCAACATCATCAGAGAAGGGGATTACTAGTAATTTGGATCTCTTGGGGCTGAGATTTCAGCAAATGGAGGGAAACAAAATTTATATTTAGGGAAGGGTCTGACTATATAATCTTTCTTCAAATGATAGAGCTATTAAAAATATAGAAAACTTTGATCATGATTATAGGTATTTAAGCTGGTTAAAATGTCTAGGATGTGGGATTTCCTATAGGATAAATTTATTTCTCATTAATATTTTAAAACAAATTAATGATACCAGGTTTTACTTTTGCAGTGGATAGCTTATTATTTTTTAAGGAAAGTTTGTTTTAAAAGGACCCATGTATATTGATATTTTTATTGCTCTGAAAAAGATATATAGAAAAAAAGAGCTTACTTTTCTCACTGATCACATACTTTGGAATTAAATTTGAAAGTGTTAAGTGGTTGATGTAGAAAACTCCAATAAAAGATTGGAAGCATTTTTGTCAAGCCAGAAAAAATCATCTCTATATTCATAAAGAGAAAGCTTCATCCTTTCTGTTGTGGTATTCATGTTAAGATTAGTGATAATTCATGTAGTTTTGGCTAGTAATTATATGTTAATAAGCATTTTCCCTGAATTATTTTTCTTAGAACGGTACCGCATTCAGAGTGAACAATTTGAAGATCTTTGGCTCATAACAAAGGAGCTTATTGTCCGCCTTCAAGAATATTTTGAAAAACAAGGAATCAAAGATTTTGCATGTTCTTTTTCTGGATCTATTCCCTTTCAAGAATATTTTGAGTTAATAGATCATCATTTTGAGGTATGTATCATTATACCCACATAATCTATATCTTTTTTATTATATGAAAGAGAATGAAATGCTGCAGAGGTATAATTCTAGTATGCACACTATGGGTTGTGTGCTTTGAGTTGTTATTTTTATATGGATAGTAGACTTCGCGAATCCGTGCCTGCCTTCTTGTCCAATTTGTGATCAGTTGCAGACATTTATAGCATAGCTGCCTGGAGCTAAGCATGTGGTCTGGCCTTGGAACAGAGCTGATTTAATTCTCCCACATGGAGATTTAACCTTTGATCCCAATAACCCCATGTTTCAACTATTTGAGCTCATCGGCAACCATTTGGCAAACTAACGCTAGCAGGCAATAAATGAGGTGCGATTTTAAAGTAAAGTGATTTTTCCTTTTCTTTTTTAACAAGCACACCAGAACTTCTGCATCCATGTGAGGGTTAACCACATAAAATGTTTTCCAGTTATCTGGTGCAATGGGCACTTTGTAAATTCTGTATGATTTAATATCTAAATAAATGTGATCTGACAGTGACTTTGTCACCAGATATTTTTGCATTTCTCCCTTGGAAGTGCCTTTAGAACCTCTGTTCGATTCTCTTAAGTAACTTAATGGTCTCAAAGTTTTATCCTCTGAAGACTGACCTGATATTTGGAAATAGCCAAGAGTCCTACAACATTGTTTTAAATATGCCATGTGTTAAAAAAAAAGAAGTCCTGGGCTCTACTTACTTATTTGCCTACAAATTAACTCTGTAGATAATTTGGGAATTATCAAAAGAACTTTGACCATCATTCATTCAAGGAAGAGTAGCTTCCCAGGAAGGACTACATTATAAAAAATCACTAGGTATATGTGTTTTTTATCCTATAAACTATGACATGTACTTGTCTTTGTGTGTGTTATGGCAGGGGAGGGAGGGACCGTAGGGGAACGACAAAGAAAAGGGGAAGAGAGAGAAACTTTCTTTTATTCAGTTCCTTAAACATTCTAAAAGCATTAACTTTAACCTATAAAGACTTCATATGTTTTGTATGAACATAAAGTGAAAATTTCAGGACATGCAATCTAATTACAAGTAACCCATCATCAAATATATTGAACTGATGTTGGTTTTTCCTTATTTATACTGATAAAACTTTATAGGACAGTATCTTTTTGTCTAGTAATTATATGTTAGTGAGCATTTTCTAAGGAATGCTTCATTCTAAGGTAGAAAAATAATTAAGTGTGTATTTTAGGAGATTCTACTTTACTATGCAAAACTGGGCTTTAGTGGTTTATGAAAGGGAGTCCATAGAAAGACTATACTAGTTACATATTTGTAATATTTAAAATAGAAAATGCTACATTCTAATTGATTATAACTTTTACATGTAAGTTTCCAGCTAATAAGTAAACAGTTCCACATGAGTGCTTTTTCTTTTCTTGGGGAACTTAGGGACTATGATGAACTATAGTCAGTTTCATTTGTAGACAAAATCAAGGAGGGGTAATTTTATTTCCTTTGTTTATAGTCCACATTCTTTGTATTTTTTTTTAAAGATTTATTTTTTGTTCATAGAGAACTGGGGTACAGGCCAGAGGCTCAGGGGCGGCTAGAGGCTTCACCAGAGAGAGTGGGGAGCAGAACAGGCAGATCTATGAAGTACACTCCTGAGTGGAGCAGTGGGCAGGCCAGGAGAGTTCTGCCACGTCATGTGGTCACCTCCGGGGCAGGCGGGAATCGAACTCATGCGGAAGTGGCTTTAGCTTCTCAGTGCTGTGCTTTAACCTGCTGCGCCACCAGGGAGGGCCCATTCTTTGTGTTTAACCTATTAAAATTAAAATATTTTAATCTTTGAGTGAAGATTAAATCTTTTGGAATCCAAGTGTTCCTTAGCACAAATTACACGAAGGCAAGAATTTTTGTCTGCTTTATTCATTGACCTGATGGATGTCTCAGAGAGTGTCTTTTTTATCTTTCAGGAATCCAGGACATAATGTATTAGAATAAGACATTGCATAACTAAAAGTGTGAACTATTCCTTACAAAAACTAAAAATAGATATTTCATATGATTCAGTTATCCTAGTTGTAGGTATTTCCCCCACCCTAATTTAAAAACAATAATTTCAAGGTATATATACTTATATTATTACATATATGTGTGTATATATGTGTGTATATGTATATATATGTATATACATATATAATATTTATATGCATATTTATAGTAGCCAAGAACCCAATACAACCTAAGTTCCTACAGTTGAAAACTGGATAAAGAAAATGGGGTATATATAACTGATGGAATACTATTCAGCTATTAAAAAGATGAAATCTTGTCATTTGTGACAGCATAGATAAACTGAGGGAATTATGCTCAGTGAAAGAAACCAGGCTGAAAAAAACAAACACCACTTGATTTCACCCATATGTGGTATATAGAGAAACAAACATGAATTAAACAAAACAAAAATAAACTTTTGGACAAAAAGTGAGTGAATTATTGATAATTAGACTAATATTTTTCAAAAATTTAGTTATTTAAAACATTTGTCACTTAACTTCTAGTAATGAAAGTTTTCTTTTATTTTTCCCTTCTAATGAATATTTTTTGATTTAGTTAGTGACTTAGTACATTTGAAATTGGGAATAAAACAAGTTAATGAGTTTCTAAGTCATTTTTCATCATGCATTTGTGGAATGCAGGATTAGGAAGCTTGGTTTAAAACCAGAAATGTAAACTCATAATGTTATTTATGCACATGTTGAATATGGTAGTCACATTTGAACTAGCTTATTACTATTTTAGTAGTTGAATTAGTGGTTCACATTATCTAGCCTATGGCATTGACTAATTTTGTGTTGATAATATTAAATTCAAAAGTATAAGCAGAGTTATGTGAAGACTCATTTTAATTCCAATCCTCTAGCCACCTGGTCTCTTTAGAGGATTTTGGTGTTGAGTTTTTTGGCATGTCTTTCTAGAAATATTTTTTGTAGCCACAATTTCATTAATATACAGGTTTACTTTTTAACAAGTGGATGGTAGCATGTTATACACAAAATTCTGTATTTGCTTTGTTTAGTTTCATTTAGTACCTCTTGGGAAGGACTGCATATCAGTACCTACTAGTACTACAAAGTACCTTCTTTCTTTATATACCCACTCCCCCTCTTGAGAGACTGGGAAAATTTTGATCGCTAATAATATTTAACCATAATAATAATAAGATAAAATATTTCATAATGAATTTCTGAATAAATTCTTAGTATTGAAATTGCTAAGTCAAAGGTTATATGCTCAAGAGCTATTGGCCATTTGTATTTTTTTCTATAATTTTGCTTTTCCTGTTAGATTGTGGTTCTTTTTCTCACTGGTTAGATCATGATCCTTTTTCTCATTCATTATAGATGTTTTCTAACTATTAATGGAAATATAATTTTGTAGTTATAACTTATTTTTGGTCTTTCTTGTAGCTTTTTTTAATTAGCCATGGAGAATTAATTTTTTTTTTAGTTGGTGATTTTTCAATTGTGTATATGTGACTTTTTAACTTACAAAACTTTTTCCCATGCCAAAATTATGAAAAAATTCTAGGTTTTCTACTGCTTTCATTGTATTCAGACATTTGATTTCACAAGTTTATTTTCTGTAAAGACTCAGGGGATAAATTCTGTTCTTTTTCCAGATGTATTTAATCAGTTATCATAAAACATTTGTTGAACAATCCATCTTTTCCCAGTAATACTGGATCATCTTTATTAAATTTCCATTTGACATAGTCTATTGTGTTATCTATGTGCTCATGTATCAAATACCACTGTTTTAAAACTCTTAAGTTCATAATGTTAAATTTGTTCGTTTAAATTTATTACTTTTTCTTCAAAATCTCATCAGCACTGCCTGTTTTCTTATTTATACATGTTTTGTTGTACACATTTAACCTGAATTTAAGAAATTCCTCATTGTAGCTGCGCATAAATGGGGAAAAAGTAGAAGAACTCTTGTCTGAAAGAGCTGTACAGTTTCGAGCTATCCAACGCCGGTTATTAGCAAGGTTCAAAGATAAAACACCTGCTCCTCTTCAACATCTGGATGCCTTGCTAGATGGAACTTACAAGCAGGTAAGTGATTTTATTAATAATAGTTTTTCACTAGTGGGTTTCATCTTTGTCCTTGCTCCAGAGTCATTTACCTGAGTATCAAGATAAGCACTTTTCCCCCTATGTCTTCTAGGGCAGTGATTAGCACACAGACTTTAGAATCAGGAAAACCTAGGTTCAAAGTCAAACTCCACCTTTTTCTTTTTTTAAGATTTATTTGTTTGTGAATACAGAACTGGGGTACAGGCCAGAGGCTCAGGGGTGGCGAGAGGCTTCACCAGAGACAGAGTAGGGAGCAGATCAGGCAGATGGACGAAGCATACTGCTGAGGGGAGCAGCGGGCAGTCAGGAGAGGTCTGCCTCGCCATGTGGTCACCTCCGAGGCAGGCGGGAATCGAACTCATGCAGAAGTGGCTTTAGCTTCTTGGTGCTGTGCTTTAGCCCGCTGCACCACCAGGGAGGGCCCAAACTCCACCTTTAACTATATGACTTTGGCTATTACATAAAACCCATCAGTTTCCACATTTTACCTTCCAGAGTTGTGAGCATTTTTGTTTATTTATGTGAAACTTCCAGCACTATACCAAATATATGGTATAGGCTCGATGAGTAATAGCTATTATGATTAATGTTGTTATTAAATAGTTCTTGGAACATCCTATGATTAGCATTGTAATGCTCCAATTGTCTTACTGAACACTTGACTTATACTTGATGTCAGTTAATATTCTGAAATGGAAATGTTAAAACAACCATTTGTTCTATTTCAAAGAGACTTTTTCCATCCTCTTTCTGTTTTCCCTACCTATGATTTATCATTTGTATGGGTTGAGTGGTCTGGCTCTCTTTCTCCTATTACTGTATCTTCAACAGCTATCCAAAAGTAGCATCTCTGATTTGAAATAATAATTTATAAAGTTTTAATTTCATGGGTAAAGTGTTTGCCATGTTTACTAGAACAAAGTTGGCTTAAGAGGACTGCATATGTCTTCTCATATTTCTATGCAATATCTTTTAATAAACAATGGTTTGTTCATATTACAGAATATCTGCATTATAAAACAGTATCCACTGGTACATGAATAAAGGAAGAGATCAAGTATGCACTATTAGAACAAAATAAAAAGATAGACTAATACATACAGTATGACACTATGGATATTTTTTAGCCTAGCAAAACAATGTTTCCAAGTTTGAAAGCAAAAATAAAAGGGTTTGGAAACAAAAACAAGTAAGATTGAATACATCCCTTTTTTAAAAAAAAATATTTATGCATATAAGAACTGGGTTGTAGGCTAGAGGTGCAGGGTGTGAGAGAATTCACCAGAGACAGAGTGGGAGTACAACAGGCAGATCTGAAATACACTGTTGAGGGGAGCAGTGGGTGAGACAGGAGAGGTCTGATGAATCACATGTGGGTTAACTCCCTGGTAGGGGGATTGAACTCAGGCCATAGCGTAGTAGCACTGAGACTTATCCCTACACCACTAGAGAGGCCCCTAAGAATGAACATATTTCTGATAAGATGATAAAGAACCAGGGTGGAGAATTCAACATTAAGTATGATGCTCTAAATTTCTTTGGGAAATTATACTCATGATTAACTACTTGAGTTAAAAATTAATTTCCTTTAAAAATCTTTCTTTTTTTAATCTAAAAAGAATGGCAATTTTAAAATAGAGATTCAAGTGAATCTAAGGAGAGCACACCACTCAAGATGTACCATTAGTAGTTGTGACTTTTGGGGTACCAGGAGGTCAGCCAACCAGTTTTCAACTCTTAGTCAGATTTCAACAATATTCTGGGATTTTGTACAGATGTCTTCCTTTTTTAAAAGAACTTTCATCTTTACTTCTAATTTATAGGTAACCACATTGAGAGTTTCTTTTTTTACCCAGCAAATAGACACTTAGATTTACTCTTGTATAATTGGAATACTGCTTTGTCAACTGCCTGAATATATTTTTGGAGAACCTAAGAAAGAAAGGGAAGGAAAGCAAAATTTGTATGTGTTGAACATCTGTTGAGTCTGACGCACTCTTCATTTAAAATTCACGATAGTCTTGCAAGGGTGGTATTATTCCCATTATATGGATGAAGAACTTAAGAATTTGAGTAGAGAAAAACAGCTTGCTCAGATAATAACTAATCTATTCCAAATTCCGTGCTTTAATATGTCATCAGGCATCTTTACTTTAATCTTTCCCAGGTAGGACCCAGACACCAGGTTTTCTTTAGCAAATTACAGTCAGATTAAAGAAAAAGATGTATACAAACTATTTGAATACATTCATGATATGTATATGTGTAAGTATATATTCAGGATAATCCAATATTGATTGTGTATACACCTATCAGAAAGGTAACACAATCTTTTGGCGAGTTCTTCAAAATATTACTTTTGAAATTTGAATATCAGAGGAAGCAGAGATTTTGTTAATTGGCTCGCTTATCCTGAGTTCAGATTCTTGGTCATGGAATGGAATGCTTATTGCGCTTGACAGAAAAGCTTGGAAAAATGAATTCTCTTTTGTTATAAATTTTTCATATACATTTGTTGGTTAGTGAAGAACTGATTAGTGAATAAGTTGAAATAAGGGAAATTTGGACTTATCCAATGACATGGCTTGCATTTCCTTCTTCATGCCCATTTGAATACTAACCTGCTGTTGCAGCAGAGAGAGAGTGTTTACTAATCTGAAAGTTTAATTGTGTTATATGAAGATATATGTGTGATAATGACTGAGAGTCATTAATGTTCTAGAAAGGCAATTGGCTGCTTTTTCTCCTCTGTAAAACAGAGACTATATTAGACATGATTTTAAACAGAGATCCTGTGGTTAGGCTTGCTATTTTTTACTTTTTTATGTACTCAAAACTTCCATCCACTCTGTTTATTTGTATGGTCTTGAAATATAAAAATTATTTTAGGTCACGCAGATGTCTAAGAATTTTTTGGTTCTCAGTTCCTTAAATGAGCATGATTTTGGCTCATTTAACACAAAGGAATATATGATGAAGCCATTCAGAGACCTGCTATCCTTATTTTCCAGGGGTGTACCTGGCAAATAAAAACAGTATTCTTATAGACAGAGAAGGGGCTATCCGGCATGTGATGTTGCTGGACTGGTTTTCCTTATCACCCCTTCAGAGCTAAAAGAAGTTCCCTTTCTCTAAGGAACACAGAATAAACAGGCAGAGAAGTGTAGGGCAGGGAGGGGAAGCACAGAAATCTGCAATTATGTATTTGTGGATGAAAGAGTATAATAAGTTAAAAAGAAAGAGTGGTATATCAGTTTTAAAAAAAGAATTGTTTTGGTTTTTACTACACTATCCCACTCTGGGATATTTATCTTAGGAAATAGTTCACAAAGGAAAAAATGTATTTACCATGGTGTTCCTTCAAACCAGTTTCACAGTGATGGGTGTGCTATGATTGCATGCATCTGAAGAGGTGTGAACCTAAACCCCAAAATCTTATATGGTGTTGTAAATAGTGTTTTGTCAATGAGAAATAATACAATTTGAAATACAAAGACAATGACTAGCTTTATTTGATATGCTATCATTTTATATCATTATTTTATTTAGTAATTTTAACAACTAGAATAATATAAAATACTTAATTTAAAAAATCAGATTAGTATGCTATAAGTTAAAATTACTGAAATAAAAATATAAGTGTGCAAAGATTTGAAAATAACAAAAAAAATAAAAATGGTATGTGTATCTGTTTCAGATTATTTTAACTTCTTAAAAAGTATTACTTTATATTCTGATCACAATTTGATAAGTTTGAATATTTTTTGTAACTATAGTGTGAACGTTTTTAACACTATCGTAATGTATACTTATAAATAGTTAAAATGGTTAAGTTTTGTGTTCTGTGTATTTTACCTTTTGAAAAGTCAAATGTGTTTCCTTTTCTTAAATTTGACTGATTTTTTCCAGTCATTTACATAACAGAATAATTTGGGGGTACAATTTCATGCCTCCATATGTGCATATGCTCCATAGTATTGGTCTACAATATTGTATGTATTGTATCAGCACTGTGTTTCCCAGATCTTTGTGGCTCTTTGACTTTGCCACTTAGCCTCTCTTGGCAGCTTTTGCACTTTTCATTTCTGAACCCCTTAAATATCACCTACCATGTTCCTCTCCTTCTAGTAAAAATTCTCAACAAATATTTATTATATCTCACAGGTTCAGGGAAGGGAATTTAGAATCTTAAATTTCCATCAGTCCAGAACTTCAGGAAATACATTGGGCCTTCGGGGTCATCTAATCCACAGTTGGGGGTGTGGTTGTTGGCAAGTCAATTTTTGTTTGGTAGAGTCTGACGATAGTGCTCTAACTTAATAGGACTTTGTGAGACTGAATTAGTTTTCAAGCAAGATATATAAAGGCAAAACATTATAACATTGGAGTTATGCTTCCCTGGATTTAGGTATGCAATACTAATTGACAGTAATGGGGCCTATACATAAATCCAGGGGAGAATAGACCTATTAGTGTATTATAAACATTCTACTTTTAATATTCATCTGATATTCTTTGCTTCCCTGGGGCATGTGTGTTTTTAATAAATTGAATGCATTCTTCTTTATCTACATAAACTCAGTCACTATTTGAATTTTCTCCTTGCTAGTGTTAGCTTGAACAACTGCCTAGATTTTAAATTTAATATTAGTATTTTATTTTGGAAAGTTTGTCAGATTCAGAAATTTGATCATCGTCTGATATAAAATTTTCTAAACCAATGTCATCAGGGAGTACTCTCTTTTGCTAAAATTTCAGCCTATTTGTTGTTTGATCTTAAAAAATTAGTCCTTTGAGATACACAAAGAAGCAAGATGTTTCTAATATTACAATAAAACTTTTAATGGACTCATTATAAGGAAATGAAAATCTTATCTTTTTGTGTCAGTGATGAGAGAAAAATATATAAGTAGCCTCCAATTATCTGTAATTGTATAAGGTTTTCTTTCATGTTTGTTATCTCTCTTCCTGTTTAATTC